TGAAGGTTTCGCTTGATCTTTTGAAGAAAGGATGATTTATATATGTAGATCATATCAGCCTTTCCTAGCATGGAGTTTTCCTGCATTTCCCAGAGAGAATGCAGGCATCTCTCTGTCCCAGGCCTCACATCAACATAAGAGAAAGACAAGAAATGGCCACCTATACTAGCTAAATCCATTGCCATCCTTTTCCTAATTCCAGTACATAAAGATACTTCCCAAAGCCCTATCTCCCTGGAAGGTCTTCCTGGCAGCCTGGCATCTTAGAAGTCTTTCCATCTACCACAAAGAGCTCACCTGTCATGAACTGCAAATTACCAGATACTAGATTTCTAGATGATACATTGTTTGATCCCCATGTAGAACTGTATGTTTCAAATTTTCCAGTAATAGTTTTCATATCAAGTATTCTATAGTCCTCATAAGTAACACATATGTTCATCACATCTATCCAGATTTAGGGCTAGGAAAATAGGCTCATGTCCAGTGGTGATCCTGTGCTCATAGTTGCTTCACAAGGCTTATCTAGGGTTCACTTTCTTCCCCCACATGAGCAGCTGGCCCTGACGAAGGCTCAGCAATTGCACATCAGCCCTGAGCATGCCTATCTGGGAAGAACACCTAGGCAGAGGTATTCCCAAATTAGGGAGTGAGCTGGGAGAGCTCTTTCTGACACAGCTATAAACTAGTCCCAAGAAGAAGTTATTAAGCACCCAGGCCCTGAGAGCCAAACTCAACACGATGTATGGAGAGAGTGGACTTTGACCCCATGCCTCACAGGTCAGCCTGGCTCTTGCCATCCCAGGTAGGCAAAGCAGGCAGAACCTGCGAGTCTTTCCTGGATCAGCCCTGCAAAGATTTGGACTCCCCTGGAAGCAGGGGCTGCACTAGGCTCCTTCGCTTTCCCAGCCAGTGCTGAAAGCATGTTTTGCTGCTTAGGGACACAGATCCTGGAGGAGAGAGCTCCAGTCAGAGGGGTGTGGAAGGCATTTAGCAGTGGTCAGGCCACACGCTCCAGCTGTGCACCTGTGGGCAGGTCATTTCACCTCTCTGGATTCACTTTTCTTTTCTGCAAACTGTGGTTGATAATAGCACCTACCTCACAGGGTTGTGGCCAGGCAGAAACAGAGTCATGCAAGTAGAGCATTGTGATCTGACCTGGCCTGTGGTGAGTTCAGAACAGGAAAGCCAGTGACATATAGGGGCTTTGATATCCCAGAGAAATCTTTCACCCAGCAGCTGACTACCCCTCCCCTAGGCCCTTCTCAAGTGCTCCGTCAATTTGTGCATAACCCTGAGGATGGGGAGTGCATTATCCCTTAGAAAGTAGGTCTGTTTATAGACAGCTTTTACTTGTATTGAATCTAAATCTTTCTGAGATACTTCCTGGTTCCATCCCTGTGGGCAAATGGAAATCAATGAACCCCTTTCCTCAAAATAGCCTCAATCATGTGCAAATTGTTGACCTCACCCTCCCTGCCAGTATCCTTTTCCCATCCCACTGATCTTTTCTTTCCCTGATGAAATGTTTTCAGTTCTTCTAATTATCAATGAATGATTAATGACATAGTTCCCAGAGCCTTCGTTATTGTGGCTTCTGTCTTCCAAAGGTGCCCTGTATGACTTAGGTCTTTGTGAGTTGAGTCCCTGTCACATGCCTGACATACAAAGAGGAGGAGACTGGACAAGACTGCAGGGACTCATGGCCAGGCAAGCAGGGGCTGCATTCTAGTTGGAAGCACAGTGTGTGCAGAGATACAGAGGCATGAAGCCAGGGCCCCCAGATGGCCAGGCACATTGAAGGAGTGGACGGTAGATACTGGGAAACACTTTTTAGAGAGCAAACTAGGGAAAGAAAAGGTGAATTTGACTTGTAGGTGACAGGGAATTCTGGACCATGTTCAGAAGTGACAAAGATAAAGATGGGGCAAGTCTGAAAGTTGGGAGGCCAGTTAACAGAATGACCAAGGAGTAGGAAGGGGGAAAACAATTCACAGACTGAAATGTCCGAAATATATAGCAAAAGGCTAACAGAGGTTCTCTCTGGGTAGTGGAACCATGAGTGATTGCCTTTTCTTTTTCCTCTGTGTTTTCTAATTTATCTTGCATAAGTATTTTCTATTTTCTCTGTAACTAGCATGTATTATTTATATAGTAAATATAATTTATGCATGTCTAGAAATAGTTCAGAATCAAACCAGCAATTGGAAACCAATTGGAGGGAGAAGTCTGGGGAACCTACATTCTGGCTGGAGTGTTCAGGTGGGTGATGTGACCACCGACTGGGATGGGACCATAAGCATCAGAACATAAATAGGAACTTGGTAGCATCACTGACAGCTGAAATGAGTACCACAGGCTGATATGTCTCCCATTTGGCCTCTCCATAGCCTGCTCTATAGCATCTGTCCTGCCTTATGGGCCTCAAAGCTCACCCGTCCACTCTGCACAGACCTATAATGCAGACTTGGTGGCAGCAAGGCCCAGCATCCATGGCAACAACAGCATTTACTTGGATGACAAGCTTGTCACTTCTTCAGCAAAATATTTAACCGAGTGCCAACTAGATGCTCTGCGATCAGCCATACTGTAGTGGTGAATTGTGAAGGGGCTGGCAGAGTGGCTCAAGTGGTAGAGCACCTGCCTAGCAAGCATGAGGCCCTGAGTTCAAACCCTAGTACTGCCAAAACAAACAAACAAAAATTGTGAGAAAGGCAGGAACCATCCCTGTCTTAATCAGAGGAAGGCAGATATATATGTTTTGGGTTACTTTGATAAACATACCATTCCAAACTGAGAGGAATGCTCCAAAGGAAAGGAAATGCTTCTGTGAAGACACTATAACAAAGGAAACGCCTCTGGTCTGAGAGTGCAGGTAAGCTTCCCCGGAAAAGATGCTTGAGTTGAGAGCTAAAGGGCAGGAGAAGGGAATTGAGCTAAGAAGTCTAGACAAGACCCTGTGGGGGGGGCCAAGTACAGTCACGCCTCCTTTAAGGACAGATTTGAGCAATGTGCAATTAGGCAATCTCACCATCACACAAACGCCGAGAGCGCATTTAGCAAACCTAGATTGCACAGGTCAATCGCTGGACATGGTCTCTTGATGCAGCCAGGAGGTCAGTAAACATGAGATGTCTGCTGCCGGTGTCACAGGGCACACTGTTTACAATAAACTTTTTAATAGGGAAAAGTACACTCTAAATAGCGATAAAAGTATGCTATAGTCAGCACATAAGCCAGATGCATAATCACTTATCATTATCACGTGTTAAGCATGGTACACAATGGTGGGTGTCGTACTTCTGTGCAATTGGTAGTATAGTAGGTTTGGTTACACCAGCATCTCCACATGAAGAATGCCTGTGCAACATGGTTAAGACAGCCATAGTGTCACTAGGTGATTATAATCCTGTGGGACTACCATCCTGTATTCTGTCATTTACTGAAACATCTTTCTGCCGCACATGACTGTGTAGCATATTTGAATATAAAATAAACACAATTTAGAGCCCAGAGAGGGGGCAGGGGCTGGGAGAGGTGGGCAGGATGGGCCCTACAGAGTCTTGAGGGGCACAAGAAGATCCTGGTTTTTATCCTAAGAGCCAGTGAGGCCATTAAAGGCTTTGGAGACCTATGGTGGCCGTTTGACCAGATCCTCCAGCTGCAGCTTAGGGCAGAGCTCCTTCAAGCATCTACTGCTCCACTGTTTCTTGTCACTAAGACTAGTGCTGAGGCCTGATAATGTCAGACACCTCCCTCCTGGCCGGGCAGCCAGAAGTGGGGGTGCTCCAGTGAGGAGCACTTAGAAGGCTCTCCCTGCAGCAGCCACCTCTGAAAGTTGCACTGCAGCTCAACTTTCTTGGGGCTTTGCATACTTTAACACTAATGTGTGTACAACTTGCTAATTAATGGAATCATTTGCATTTGAAAACATCGTGTGCTAATGGGAGGCTGCAAAGCACTCTCATTAGTTCACAGGTATTGTTCCAGCTTTCTTCTTCATTTATTTTTTCCCTCTCCCCAGCTTGGCTTAATGGCTGGGGAAGAGTTCTTCTGATTAGCCTTGTGAAAACCAGTCTTCTAGAGCTCAAAGCACTAGGACTGCCTCAGGTGCTAGGAGAGGGAGACCAGCCTTGGTTTACCCAGTAAAGAGGACAGGGGTAAATGCAAAGGAGGAACTCAACCATTCTTAAGCATACAGTTCAGCTGTACCAAGAATATTCATATTGTTGCAGCATCCAGTTTCCGAACTTTGTCATCCTCCCCAAACGGAAACTACATGTCCATTACACAAGAAGTCCCTTTCTATGGGGCTTATGAATGGTATGATGTTCTGATGATGTGTCCCCTGGTAGGATTTTTGTAGGGCAGAATGGTCCACTCACTTAATCCCAAGAAGGTGCTGCAGAGCTATATTCTCAGTCCTACCCAGGGGTCTCACCCCCAGACGTATAGTGGTTGTGAGTCGTTTCTGCACCCGAAATCCCACCCTCCCAGACATCTGTCTGCAGGCTGATCTGTGTTTCAGAACAGGTGGGGTGGTCACCATGAATTAGCCACCATGAGGAGATGAGTAAGTTCTGTGTGGCTGGCTCTAGTCACAGTGAGTTCTCACTGTATTGGGCTCTGCTGTAGGAGAAAAGGTACGAGGGTGTCTCTAAAGATGGGACATTTAAAAATTATTAATAGTTAGGGATGAAAACAACATGTTCTTCTCCTTGGAAACACAACATCTGCCAATCCCTTTATTTGGATGTGCCTCCAAGACAGATTTGGAGTCAGGCCAACCTGGATTTACATCCATCCTTTGTCACTCACTGCTATATAACCTTGAACCTCTGTTTCCTCATCTAAAAAATGGGGCTCGTGATCCCCCACTAGTAGAGTTACTGAGGAGATTACACAAGGTGGTGTTGATGCAGCATCCAAGGCAGCACTGCCTTAGCAAGTGGAAGGCAACATTCTCGTGGTTGTCACTGTTGATGATTTTGTCATTGTAGGTCTGCAGGTGGTCCTGAACTCCATTATCAAGGCTATGGTGCCCCTGTTGCACATCGCCCTGCTCGTGCTATTTGTCATCATCATCTATGCCATCATTGGCCTGGAGCTCTTCATGGGGAAGATGCACAAGACATGCTACAACCAAGAGGGCATAGCAGGTAAGAGGCGGGTACTAGGCTGCAAGTTCCCAAGACGCTGTCCCTTCCTCCATAGCTGCTTCTTGTACACTGGACGGGCTGCAGCCGTCTGCTTCTCTGGACTAGGGAGGACTCCTGCATTCAGTCACTCATGCTTCCAGGCTGTGGCCATGTGAGAGGCAGTGGTCTTTATTCTCTCCATCTCATTTCCAATTTCTGTTTTCACTACAAAGAATCTCTGTTAAAACAGCCAAGCAAGCTTTGTCTAGCATTACTAAACACAATTAAATGAGTTGCACAATTTCAGAGGTATTGAAAGAACCTATCTTTCATCAGTCTCTCATTCTTGAAACCAACCTTGAACACTTCAAGAGTCAATGTTAAGTGGAGCCCGTGTGTGTCTGCTCCATCAACATGTCAGTATGGTTCATCATTAAAGACCTTTCGGGAAGACAGTAATGCTATCTCCTGTCAGGACCTGAGGTCTTTCCACCATCATGGGCCTCGTCCCAGCTCCTGTCGGTCAGTGTTTTCTTCTCCATTTGTAAGCAGAAGACCCTGGCCCCCTTCCCAGGATGGGTGAAGGGCAGGCCTGGAATCACCCCCTGTACCACCAGCCAAGTCTCTATTCCAAGGAGAAAGTTCAGCTTCATGTCATGACCATGGGTCTTGCCTTTCTAAGACTCCCCTTTCTGTGCTCCTTCTATAAGTCATTGTATTTAAGAAGCAATGTTGGCTCATTAAGCATTTCCTTGAGTAGCACCAGAGTTTTGGTTTGCAGGATATGCTACAGGCTACTGTCTTAAATGAGAAACATCTCAGCTTGACCTTTTAAAAAAACATTTAAACAGAAATTGACAAGGCAATAAAACTGTTTCAAACACACACACACAACTTGTTAATAAAATATCCCCTACCCTGAGGGGCTAGCAGTGTTCAATTTATATGATTTTCCTTTTCAAACAACAAGTCCTGTGCTCCTAGCTTGAGGCATCTTGTTGGAGAAAGAGGAGCATCTGCCTGCAGCACTGGAGGATAGATTAACCCTTCCCTCTGCAGCTGTGTTTCTTGTCCCACTCAGCCTAGGCGTAAAAGTAAACCTGCCCCCCCTTGCTTTGAGTGAGACTGGAGAGCATATCTACAACAGTGTGAAATGGATTATTCATCTTCAAAAACCAAAATAGACAACCCAGTGTGTAGGATGTAGCTTGGCTGAACGGGTGAACTGGGTATTTGCAAGGTTGCTAAGTCATTGTCACATGGGCACAGTCCTGAAAAACGAACAAAACCTATAAATCTACAGTTACAGATCACCCAATTGTTTTTGCATTTATTATGGAAAGTTTGTTTAGGAGGAGACTGTTCCATCTTGAGAATTTCCAAATACTTGGGTTGGAATTGTATAAGATGCAATTTTTGATTGGAAAAAAGAAACAGCTAAAATTTTGAGATATCCAGCCTTGCTTAAAGAAATACCGAGCAATATAGTATATAATATTTCCCCTTTAATTCAAATCCTTCTTTTTATTCTGTATGCTCTATTGCTAGCCCTAAGCCAATAACTTTATACTAATTGTGTGGCTTGGTTGGCTCACCATTCTAAGACCTCCTTAAGAGCTGACTGTCCCATGTCTAGAGTTTCTGCAGTTGTATTGAAATGACCAAAGACCCATTGAACCCAAACACCTCAGGCTGTGACAGAAATACAGAGTCTCAAAAGATCCCCCATCAATTCAGCAGTGACTGATAGTTGGGTTCCCACCAACAAAATGGAGGAGAGAAGAATGGTGAGATTCCATTCTGAGCCCAAGATGGCAACCCTGCCATGCTATCAGATGTCGGTGGACCATTAAGCCAAGGAGAGTTGCTCCAACACCTGCAAATGATTTCTGACATTCTGACAGGAACATAGCAAAAGTGTGTTTTCTACTGGTGGCAAGGATTGTGCAAGGGCTCATGGGAATAAGAGACCATGAATTATCATGAAAATCATCAGGTTTTGTTATCAGGCTTCAGTAACCTGAGATGTCAAGAAAATGGCAGATGTCATAGACAAAATGCAGGGTGGACTCCTCTCCATAGGACAGAGCCAGAGGGTTCGGTGAAAAGCCACCTCTGGTGCAGAAAGCTTTAGGTCCTCCTCTGCCCTTAGGATGAAGACTAGGCATGGCCTTACCCACTAGAGAGGCCTGTTTAGTATCATATTGACCTTGACAGTAAACAGGACCAGAAGTACCCAAGTCATCATCCACTTCCTACCATAAGATTCTGGAGGTCATTCATGTGATGGGTTTTATCTTTATCCCCCAAGTTCAGAGGAGAAGTGGGCTCCTGTAGTGGAAACAAGCTGAGCCAGAGTGTTCCACCAAGAGGCACTATGCCAGGCTCCAGTGAGAAGGTGACCTCACACATTTGTGTGTGGGGCCAGGGTCCCTGCTGGGAAAGGGGCAGGGAGCATTTAGCTATAGCAGCCTGTCTTCTCCAGCACTCTGCAGCCAGCCCACCACCTCCTCCTTCCTCCACCTACCACCTGATGACAGCCCAAGGACCCACCCATCACTCCCAGCAGAGCACATTTCTATCGTCATCAGAACTTTGTCTATCCATATGGTGACTGACCCCAATGAGGAGAAAATAAAAAATTGTACATGGATCTGGACACACTCAATGCAGCCTAGAGTAGAAGACCAGAGACAGACACCTGCCACCTTCTGAACCAGTCCCAATGTGTTTTGGATAGTTTTGTAGAACCTTTGAAATGGGTGTTTTTTTAAAAATTTGTCTTTGTTTTGGTTTAGAATCAGACTTTGAATTGAATTATCGTATTTTCTGCATATTTAAATTATACAAAAGTGCTTTGTGAGTCCTTGTTACAACTTTAATAGGACTTACACCAAATTCTTATTTTTACACTTGGATATTATTTCAGACAATGAGAAAAGAATACACTAGATTTTCAGTCTTGTTTCCCATAAAACCCATATGAGGAAGCTATGGGGCCAGCCCGTGAACCACTGTTCCACTGTCCCTTTGATGGGCAGTCCCTGGTGGAGCTCATCTCAGAAGAGGCCATTTTCCCTTAGTCCCTGAGGCATCTGCACAGCCCTCTTGGTTCTTTAGCAGATACATTGCCATATGCGACACCTTTTGTTTCTGGTTGTTCCATCTGTCTGATGGTTCTTGGAGCCAGGTCCTTTTCAATAGCTCTTCCAAGTACAATAATGACCCCTGAGACTGGCGCAGAATTGGTTGGCTAAGCCTAGCCATGAAATCACCTTCATTCTGTTCATTCCTTAAAGTTGAGACCTAAAAATGCAATTGATTTTGTCTTTGGCCATTCCTCCTTGGAACCAGGTGCTCTGCCAGGATTTCAGTTCTTGTTGGTATTGACTGTATTTCTAAAATCTCTCATCTTTGCCTCCATTATTTTACCAAAAGCTTCATGAGACTTTCCACAGTGACTCTCTCTCCATTTCTGTTTTCAAATGGAGAGCCCACGCTGCTCAGCATTCCCCCTCTGTTCCTGTCCACCTCCCAGGACTTCATGACTCTGCAAAAGAAAACCAACCATTTTCCTGTCTAAGCTGAGTTTCCCTTACCTTAGAGTCCACGTTGTTAGGACCTGCTGATTTGCATGTGTTCACATTTTTCAAGTGTTCCCTTTAGTGCTTTTTATAGATACCTATTTTTATCAGATCATCCCTGTTTCTTAATTATTCTCCAATCTCTTTTTATTGTTGTTCAAGACAGATTTAAAATAGCAGAGCAGCACTTGAACCCGTGGATGATCTTTCTGGGTCCCATCCTTTCTCCTGTACTAGTGACATCACTTCCCCTTGATGCCAGTTTCTTCTTTGAGAAATCCCCAAAGATGTTTTCCTTCCTCAAGGATGCCTGGAACCCACTTTAGCAGCCTTCCTCCTTTCCCTACTTCTGCTGTTGTGGAATTGAAGATGGGGAAGCTGTCCAGATTAGCAGTCACAATGGAAAGACGAACAGCATCTTTCTGCCACAAAAAGCAAAACATGAGAAAAAGAAATGCAAGCTCTTCTCCCTTAATTTTCTTCACCCTCTTTTTCATCCCATCTCTCATGTATCCCAGCACTTTATCGCCGAGCTGAACACGTCACTCTAGAAAGCTATTTCTAGAATAAGTGAGAACCAAACAGAACTTATGATCAATTTGGTTCTTGGTCTTCAGTCTCTCAACTTTCGTTTTTTAAGTGCTCGGCTATTTTTAATTTATTGTGTAGGGTTAGGATTCACTTCCTAATTTCTCTCCTTTTTTATAGCCTAACATCCAAATCGCTAAAGATTTCACAATTTCAAAAAGTCACAAAAAGTTGTGACTAGGGATGATTCACTTCAGGAGCCAGACTCTGGGTAAGGAAATGGTGTGGACACTTTGTACCCTCAAGCGGCTCAGAAATCAGAATGCAGACCTGTCACCTTGGTCATTAATAAAACACCAAGCCAAGAAAGCCTGGAAGCAGCATTATTCAGAACCCCAACCTGGAAATAATCCAAATAAGACAACATAACAATGAAATACATGGAAAGGAATCGGCCAGACTGAAGTAGATGAACACAGAAACATTATGCTAAGTGGAGGAAGAGGAACATAAAAAGCCATATAGTATATGGTTTTATTTATATGAAATTTTAAGAAAAGGAAAAGCTTTGAAGACAGAAAGCAGATCAGGTTGTCAGGGCCTGGGGACAGGAGTAAGGACAGACTGTAAACAAGCATACAGGAATCTGTTTAGAAACGGATTGTGGTGATGGCTGCACAGCCATGTAAATTTACTCCAAATAATCGAGCTGGACATTACATTGATGAATTCCAAAGGATGTAAATTATATTTCAATAAAGGTGAGAGACAGAGAGAGAAGAAGGAAAAGGAGGAAGTATCGGAAGCCATCACTGCTGTCATCAGGAAGACACACATTTTCAACCATAGCACCCAACTTCATTCTCCCAAGATTTATCTCTTAGTTAAAGGTTAAAACATTTCTCCGCCTCTTAAGAGTGAAGTTTTAAATTTGAAGCCACAGACAACAACAGCTAGCTACCCAGTAGTCTTCCATACACAGCCTGTGTCCTACAGGCAAAATAATCATACTTGTGATTGTTTTGATCCTTATGAAAGAAGAAAAGATTCTGAGTGACTTCCTAACAGTAAATAAAGAACCACAAACAAATTCTCTCTCTGTGGTTGTGCTTTCACTGTCATTAGAGGTAATTGTTTGCTTATTAGAACTGAGGTCTCTTTGTCATTACTTTCTACAGATACAAGATAAGATCCTCAATTTCACAAACTTCTGTGAATTCCCCACTTTATGTTCCAAAGCAAGGCCAAGACTTTCTATTTTTACCATAATTCAGAACAGTCAAATCTTACTTAAATTTACCAATGATCTCCACACCAAAATTATAAACTGCATCTTAACTCACTAATTTGCTAATAGCTATTTCCAGCATGTGGAATCAGCCAAGTACTGTCCTTGGCCACAGATGACATTTCCTAAAAGAGCTCTGTCCTTACCTAAAAAGTATTCATCCTGTCACCTACTGCCACTCTGTCTTTGATTAGTGATTAGGAAATGATTTTTCTCTTCTGAGAGGTATTTTGCTGGGGACGAAGGGCAGCACTGAGAGGTCCCACCAGATGTGTGTAAAATGCAGCCTGCTATACTCCCACTGATGGACCGTCACGAAGCCTGCCACCATGGGCACTGCTCGTGTGGGCGGAGTTCATTGTTCTTCCTTCATGTCAGAAGGCTTCACTATAAAGTGACTTTCATCCCTAGTAATAATGCATCTTGGGATATGTAATGAACTCATAATCAGAAGTTACTTCTGGATGTGATCAGTTAGCTAACTATGGGAAGGAGTCTTTGAATGGACGTAGCCCTTATGTTCCAGTGGCATGGGCAAGAGTCCTACTGTCTTTGAAATTGATTACTGAGGTTAAAGTGCAGTTTTTACAACACTTGGTTGAAAATACTGGTGTTCTAGGTCAATGGTCCCCTCGAATGAGTGCCTAAGCCCTTGTGTGGTTAAGTCATATATGGGGGGGAGTAGACTAATTAAAATTTGTTCTGTGTGATTTCTGCAGACTGATGGTTATCCTCTGTCACTGTTCCCTCTAACTCTTTTTCTTCTTGCTCTGCCTGTCCCCCCTCCCTCCTTTCTGCATTCTTGTCTTCCTTTCCCTGGACATGGAGATGTCCCAGCAGAAGAGGACCCTTCCCCTTGTGCTTTGGAGACAGGCCACGGGCGGCAGTGTCAGAACGGAACAGTATGCAAGCCCGGGTGGGATGGGCCCAAGCACGGCATCACCAACTTCGACAACTTCGCCTTCGCCATGCTGACGGTGTTCCAGTGCATCACAATGGAGGGCTGGACAGATGTGCTGTACTGGGTACGGAGCTCGGGCCGGCACTCAGAGGGCGGGAGCGTGAAGGTCATGGGCCCTTCCTGACACCTCCCATTCCCTCTTCCTTTGAGGTTGTGTCATATCCACATACCAAGGGAATGGCTGATACATGTCTTTGATTCTTCCAGGTCTTGCTTAAGAAACAAAGCATGACATGTCCACCCTAATAGTCCCCTCTGCCTGCCCACCTTGGAGAAATGTCATCTTTAGTTTGGCCATAATGCAGAACACTGGTGTGCAGTCAGTGCTCTGCGGGTGAGCTGGCCATGCCTGGCAGAATTCATTCAATCCCTTTTCCTGCTGCTCCTGCCATTTCCCACCTCCATCTCCAAAAGAGAGCTACAGGCAGAATTACAAATTCTCAGAGAAAAGTCAGGCCTAGTCTTCTGAAAAGAAACCATTTTCATCGAATTGTGTAGCATTGAGATATATATTATATTTTTATTTCTCATGTTAGTCTTACCTTAACTTATTAGAACAGTCCATCAGACAAATGTTTTCACTGTCAGCCAAAGACCCTGCTGGTTGTAAGATGCATATTTAGAAATCCCACTTCATGAGTGCCAACCCATCTGTAGTGCATTTCTTTTATGTTAAAGATGCCATCACCACTTTGGAAACCTTCAAACCCTTGACATGACAGGTTTGTATACAGTCTAGCCCATCGGCAAATGCATCCATATTTGAGCTGTCTTTATTCTGGCAGAGTCAAGGCCATTATTTGTAAAACCTCCAGAAAATATCTTCTTTGCAACGTCTCCTACTTCAGCATGCGAAATGACTTGCCAGAATCCAATGTTGCTCTCCAGAATTTTGGCGAATAAAGTATGTTGCCAATCTCAAAAATATCATCTCTTCCAGGGTTTCCCAAATAGTCAAATCTATTTGGCCATCATGAAAACGATCTAAGAGGCTGCTTAGGGAACAGTGTCTACAAACCAAAACAGGGAAGAGTGAGAGGGAAGCCTCTGCCTTCCCGACATACACAGCTGCCAGATAGAGAGGACATATTGCCAAAAAAGGTGCCGACTTCTTCCAGAATCAGAAGGAAGTTGTGTAACAGTGCAGAGATGCGATGCACACTATTGTAGCTTCTAAAATCTTTTGTAAGCACTGTGTCCTCTTGATTCAAAAACCCTCTCCTCCCAGTTTTGACATTGCAGTTAACATGCCAGAGCCCAATATTGCTATGAAATGTGTTCCTCTCTGTTAATGACTACTTGGAACTTGCCTGAGTACCTTGTACCCAGCAAACGTTTGCTGAGTATCCTTGTGTGCCAGGATGCTCTAGGCACTGAGGATTCAGTTGTAAATAAGATCCAGTTCAGTCTCAGAAGCTAAGTATAAAAACCAGATGAAGTTCTAAACTGAATACTGGGCCTGTGCCACAGGAGGCTGTTATGATGTAATGTTTCCAGCAGAAGATAATGGTCAGATCGCCTCCACCTCCAACCTCAAACTAAAACATGCATGAGAAAACATTTCTCAGGCTCATACTGGAGTTGATTTTGTATCACTGAAAGACAAAGAGAGGAATGTGAACTTAGTCTTCTTAGGCAAATTTGTTCTACTTAGCAAAGCAGATCGAATTCCCTTCTACCTTGCATGAGTCCCTCTGGCCAGCTAATATCAGAAATGTCCTTCTGCACTAGATGATTTTCACCCATGGGCTACAGACCACTGGGCTCTGAACTTCACCATGTGAGCCTCGAGCCCATGCTGTCCGTTACTATGGAAACGCCTTCTGTGGCATCAAATGGAGGGCAGGGAAGCAGGGTGGGCAGGGTGGGGGGTGTGGGGAGGGGAGAGTAGGTGTAATTTACCTTGCCGAGGGTCCTGATGTCCTTCTGTGATCTTCCCTCGTCGCTCCCTCCTTCTCCCCCACCGCCGGTCACTGATACCCCACCAGCCAGATGTGACCCAAAGAAATCCTGTCATACTGACAGCCAGAGTGGAGAAGGGAGAAAGCACACCACTGCAACTACCAATTTTCGGCAGCTGTGTTGTGCCTTCCCCTCTGGGGGTGTGACAGAGCTTATCCCAGATAGAGCTGGGAAGGGAAAAATTGTCAGAGGTGAAGGAACAAGTCCAAGCTCTGGGGACATACCTCCTCTGACTGTCCCAGTACCCTTCCAAAATGGCCACACTGTGTTTGCACACCCCTAAAACTGAAACCCAGCCTGGTAGACGCAGCTCCCAGCCCAGTGCTCCTGCCGTCAGGGGATTTCTCTCTAACTGCTTTGCCCTTTCTGTGGCCATTTCTCTTTCTTCTTTTCCTCCTTCTTCCTGTCTTTCCCTTCAGCATTTCTCCTCTTGCTTGTGTCTCTAACCCACAGACTCTCAAATTTCAATGTTTAACATCAAACAAGAAGCTTTCTAAGTATAAAAATACCCAGAGCTGCCTCCAAACCATCAAATTAGAGGTTTCTAAGTTAGGACTTGAGTGTCTGCATCCTGAGAAAGCTCTCCAGGCTGTTGGTGTGGTAGCTGGAGCTTGAAAGCCCTGGAGACCTAACCTGATGAATCTACATGCTGCTGCTATGATGCCATGGCTGGATTTGAACCAGCCTGAGGAGCTGGTTTCCATAGAGAACAGGGAAGTAAGGTCTTCCGTTCACAATGTATTTCCCTTCTAGCCCAAGTATGTGATAGCATTAAAGAAGCAATTGATTCAGTCACCCAACATAGCCTAGAACACAAGGGACCAGGGAAGTCACCAAGCACATGGCAGATACTGACTCCTCTTGCAGGTGATATTGACTGTGTTTCTTTTTTCCTCTCACATCCATGATTGTTCTCCATTGTTGTGATGTTGAAGAGTTAGTGGACTAAATATAATCAAACTTGGTCAAATAATACTTGAACACTGCCTTAGCTCTGAAAGCCATCAGCTATGATTTGGGTGGCCAATGGCTAAACAGATTGCTTAAAACATTGCTTTTCCCTGGTCTCCTGTTCTAAGTCTGCAGGTGAGAGGGAAGAAAGGGGGAGTGGGAGTTGGCAACTAAACAAAACTCAGGTTTATGTGTAGTTTTCTTGGGCAATCACCTCTTTAGCCAAAGCTTCTCTATTTACTCTAGGAATGTTCAAGTCTCTCAAAGAATATGGTGGGCAGGTTGGGGGAATTGATCAGATCCAACAGTGCCTACCACAGGAGCACTAAGCACAGGAGAGGGGAGACACTGCTGATGTCTCTTTGTGACATCATGATTGGTTTCCATTTCTACTTTTGGGTGTTTTGAGGTTTGTTTTTTTGGGGGGAGGGTGGTTGCTCAATATCCCTAGCCACCCTCCTATAATCGAAGACTATTTGTCTTCTGTGGTTCAGGCAGGTGCTACTGAATCAAGCCAGGCTCTATCTGCAGAATTCTCAGATGTAGTCTGAGAGGGAGGGTCAGTCTGAAACTCTGAGCGTTGTCCCTTTCACACAGTAACCCTACACAGCTAGATAGCATAAACATCAACCAGTCAAATAGTTGTTCAGTGCTAACTTTCTACCCAGCACTTCAGACAGCCCCAAATGAAATAACATGGCCACTGACCTGGGTGAGAATTGTGGGAAGGAAGGCAGCAGTGAGAGATGGTATCACACTGGAAGACATCTTGCTGGCCCTTCAGGAATCGAGATGCCTGGAAAATTCTCATCAGAGGTTTCTGTTGACCTCTGCTCACCTGATGCCTTCTGATCTAGGGACCCTGAGAACACTGCATGCTGGGCTCACAGCAGACACCTTTGGTCTGTGTTTTCCTAGACTCAATCCCCTCTCCAGCTCTTCCTGGAACCAATCATTGTGCCCTAGTGTGTTTCAATTACTTCTTCTATGGATCTTTCAAAAATTTTCTATTGGATTTAAAAATGAGATTAGAAAGAATACTTAATGAGGAACCACAGAAAGGAAAGATTTTTAGAATCACAAATAATTTCTTCTATAATATCTGAGATTAGTTTTGATTCAGAAAGCTGGAGACTTTGGGAACCAAAGTCTAAGGGTTTAATTTTTCATAAGTCAGTTTTGAGCTCCACACTGCATCTTGCCTTCTGATGAACACAACTAGTCATGTGGAGGAGGTACTCCTGCTGATTCCACACAATACACACGTACACACACACTCATGTGCACACACATGCACGTAAACTGATGTGCACATGTACACCTCACATGCACACACATGTACACATACACACCTATTCGTGTGCACACACACACACACAGAAGCCTCTCATCTCTGCTTTTGGTGTTGCTGAAAAATCCCTTAATTATGACAAAAGTCTTTTGCATCCAAGCAAGTTGAATTTGGAAGTTTTACCCTATTTGTTCCACTCCACCTTGCTTTCAAAAATCCACCTGCTTTCACAGTAGAACATAGAACATGAGTTTCTAAAGATATCAGAACAGTGTGGAACTGAATTCTGCCAATGACCCAGCAGTCATTCTAGGGGAATTGCCGAGAGAAATCCCCATGGGATCCAGGAACAGCACTTGGGGCTCTTCATGTGGTCAGAGGAGGGAGTGACAGGTCCTTCCAAGGACTCTGGTATTCTGAGTATCACTCACTCAGTGCCCATGCTGCCAGACAAAGAAGCCACTACCTAAACAATACCTTGACGATTTGATAACCACATCAAGGGAGAGGATTAGCATCATTCATTCATTCATTCATTGGATTTTATTTCTTACCCTTCACTGGTATTACATGTGTCCTTATTATTCAATGATTCAATTTAACAAACACTTATTGAGCATTTACTGTGTTCCCAGGGCTGAGCGGGGATGGCCCAGGGTAGGGTGGAGAAGAGGAAGGCCTGCCCTGCAGGACACATGAAGGAGTGAGTGCCAGCACAGGGCACTTGCAGGGAGGAGGCTTGCACAGGCCCTGAGGCTGGACCGTAAGCAAGGCAGCAATAACTGGGAAAAACAATCCTTAGCCATTTGGGATGCTGAGATAACCTGTGTTTCAGGTTCTCAGTGAACCCAAGAAATCAC